TACCACAGCACATCATGCCCTGGATGTAATTGAGAGTTACCTGGAAGGGCTGGGGGACTGCAGGGTTGGACGAGGTACCGGTTGGGCTGGGGGGGAGGCAAGTTACCGGTCGGCTGGTGGTGAGATGTTGTATTTTCTTCCCTTGTTATTTCCTTTATCATTATTATCATTGGTGGTAGCAGCAGTGATTTGTGTTATACCTTAGTTACTAAACTGTTCTTATCTCAACCCGTGGGAGCTGCATTTTTTTTCAGTTCTCCTCTCCGTCCCTCCAGGAGTAGGGTGAGGGTAAGAAGGGAGGGGAGTGAGTGAATGAGCTGTCTGGCTGGGGTTAAACCACAACAGTTCTTTTTGGCGCCCAACGTGGGGCATGAGGGGTTCAGATAACAACAGATCTGACCGGATTAATAGTCACTTGTCACAATGCTGATTTATTGGCTCTCAGAGTTGTTCCTCTTGATCTCACAGTTTCAGAATATAGTACATTACTTAGACCCGGTATTTGCTGTGTTAGTGTTTATCAAGTGTGGGGCTTGGGCTAAGGTTCCTGTCTCACTGTACGTTATGGCAATGACTTGTAATACGGGCGGGCTCCAGCAGCAGGGCGGGATGGACGTGGCCGTGGACTGGTCCCTGGCCGTCCGGCTGCTCCTCACCATCCTGGCCCTCGCCCTCGCCTCCGTCTGCGTGAGGCTGCAGGGAGCCGAGGGGGAGAGGCCCCGGGAGCCGGCGGCTGCTGAAGTGGCCCAGAAGAGCGGCCCCGGGCACCGAGCGGGAGCGGGGCCAGAGGCCACGAGGGGACGGCTGCCGGTGGAGCAGGTTGGGGCGGTCAAGGAGTGGAAGGAGGCAGCTGCCGAGCAGCGGGAGAAGGCAGCGGAGGAGCCGAGCCCTGTGGAGGAGCCGAGCCCCGCGGTCGAGCCCAGCCCCACAACGGCCGAGAGCATTCCCCGGAAGCCGCCCGCCCACCCCCAGGAGGATGCAGGAGACCCCGCAGCATTTCCCAGCAAGGCAGAGGAGGAAGAGCTGGACTCAGTAAAAAAGAAGCCGGTGGTGAGAGAGCCAGCAAGCACAGCAGCTACACCAGCCCCAGCTTCCCTTGTTATTTCCTTTATCATTATTATCATTGGTGGTAGCAGCAGTGATTTGTGTTATACCTTAGTTACTAAACTGTTCTTATCTCAACCCGTGGGAGTTGCATTTTTTTTCAGTTCTCCTCTCCGTCCTTCCGGGAGTAGGGGGAGGGCAAGAAGGGGGGAGTGAGTGAACGAGCTGTCTGGTTGGGGTTAAACCACGACAGGTTTACTCAGGACGAAGATACTACCTTTGGTTAAAGAGGTCCCAAGCTACAAAAGAATACTCACTGTGTGCATGCACTGATCTCACACCCTTTGCTGTGCCCTGGCTGCCCCTAAGCGTTGAAGGCAGGACGCTAGGTTGGGAAGTCCCAAGGTGGCATTCTCCTGCTTCCTTTTCTGACAGGAGGAGGACTTTAAAGTCCCACAGCTCAAGGAAACATGAATTCAAGTCCCAGCATATGAATTACACATTATTTTACCATCCCTCACCATGGGCCCTGTCTCTCAAGAGCTATCTTGAGAAGGGTGTCTAGAACAGGTGGGTCTCTGTGTCAGGCCTGAAACTGCCTGGTTTCAGACTCCCAAATACAGGAAAGACACTGATATACTGGAGTGAGTCCAGTGAAAGACACCAAGATGGTTAAGATAGCTCAACACATGACACAGGAAGAGAGGAAGACAGAAACGGGGGTTTAAGTCTTCAGGGGAGGGCTAAATGCAGACTTCCTTGTTTTCTTCAACTACTTCACAGGAGGGTGTGGACAAGACAGATTCAGCCACTTCCCAGAGGTGCAGAGTGATAGGGCAACAAATGCAAGTGGCAAGGAAGAAAGTTCTGAAGAGACATTAGGAAAATAAATTGCCCTGTGAGGGGGGAAAGAGTCCCTTCTGAAGGTCCCAGAGAGATCAGTGATCTCCATCCTGGGAAACAATCAGCTGTGCATGGGACAAGGTGCCAAGCAACTGATCTGCTTGGAGTGGGAGGCTGTACCAGAGACCTCTAGAGGTCCCTTCCCACCCCAATCACATGATGGTTCTTCGCTTTACCCCAGAAGCAGAGAGAAACCTGGATGTTGAGTGGAGTTTTAGCTTGGCTGTGGTGAGATGAAGCCTGTCGTGGTGTTTGATCCTACCCCTACATGCACAGTGAATGCATTTTTTTTCTGCTCTCTTCAGGCTCTGAATGGTTCTTGTGCCTGTCGCTTGTCATCCTACTGAGACATCAGCTTCCTCCTGCAGCATCTGTTTTCCTGTCATTTGTTCACAGAGAGTGACAGTGCCCTCTGCTCTCATCTCCATTTGGAAATGTGCACTCTCTCACCATTTTATTTTTGAAGCCTAAGACAGAGTCAGCCACCAGGCTTCAATCCTTGTTAGCAAAGCTTTCATCCTCTGCCTGCAAATCCAGCACTGGCTCACAGCGAGAGCGGCAGATGTTTTCTCACTCCTTTCACACAATGTTTCCTTCCTTTTCCACCCTGCAAGAATTCACATTAAGTTCCTCCCTTTCTAATGATGTCAGGAAGTCCCCCCCCCCCCCCCCCCCCCCCATTCTTGAAGGGCTCTTACAGAGGACAAGCATGACATCTTTTGTCTGGATATTTGATGGAGGATGCTCTTTCCAGAGCCTAGAGAAGCAGTCTATAGGGAAAAACAGCAACCTGCAGCTATTTGAAGAGATGCTGCATCAACCAGAAGTGTCATCTTTAGCTCCAGGAAGGTGCCAGGGTTAATTTCATGATCATTTTTATTAGCTACTAGCACTGCATTTATAATAATTCTGCACGACAGGCATGACAGGGAACTACTGGTACATACTCAGCCAGAGCCTTCATTTCCAAGTCATTTATTTTAAACCTGCAAGGGTGTATTTCCAAATGCCTGGCTGGACCCTCTAGAAATTAAGAAAATTAGGATCTGTGTGATCTCAGAGACAGCTGGGGAGGTAAGCATAAAGAAAGACCCTACACGTCTATGCTAAGTATCACCTTCCCTGTATTCAGGAAAGGAAAAGACCAGTCTCTGTAGGAGCAGGAATTGCTCTGGATTGTGTTAGATATATCACATATTCCTACCTTTGCAAGGAGCACAGTGTGACCATTCCATTCTGCACAGAGGAAAAGATGTGGAAGGGAAAGGATGTAGAGGGAGAAAATCCTTCCTCTATCTACCAGTTGGGTTTGGCTTTTTGCTCTTTATTCCCATCCCTTTTAAGAGGAAAGCAGCAGGTAGAGGTTCATCCCTCAGCCTTGCTTAATCACTCTGACCCTGTGGCATGGCTCAGCTCTGCCCTGGGTTCCCTATGGAATCCTGTGGAGTTGATCCATGACTGCTCTCAGCAACGACTGCTTTTCCCTGCCATCCCCCAGAGCTGCCTGCACCTTTCCACACTGCCACTGAAGGCACCTGGGAGAGGCACCCCTGATGACCTTGCTTTTTTTTATCATCCCCTCATCATAGCCACTGCTGCAACCCCAGCGGGAGGAAATATCAGCAGGGGAGCAAGAGTATCTCTCACAGCTTCTACTCCAGACAGTCTGTGGTCCCTTTGGTGCTGGAGTCCTGGTCCCATCACTCCTGGCACCATGGGGACCTGCTGCCCGGGACCATTGGCTTGTGGAGAAGCCAGCCTGGTGGAAATTTGTCTGCCCATCAGTGGGGCACCCCCAAGTCCTCAGCCCAGACCTGCTTCATCCCGGTTGGCTTTGTGTCACACTCCCTCCCTAGTCACTTTGAAGTACTTTGGGAATGATGAGCAGTCACTCCCTGGTCAATCCCCTATTTCTAGCCCCATTCTATGGGGTCATATAATCACAGAATGATTTGGTTGAAGGGACCTTAAAGCTCCTCCAGCTCCAACCCCTGCCACGGCCAGGGATCCCTTCCACCAGAGCAGCTTGCTCCCAGCCCCTGTGTCCAACCTGGCCTTGAAAACAGGCAGGGATGGGGCAGCCACAGCTTCTCTGGGCACCCTGACCCTAACCCTAACCGTCACCACCCTCAGAGGGAAGAACTTTTGCCTAATATATAATCTCAAATCTCCCCTCTGGCAGGTTAAAGCCATTCTTGTTTGTCCTGTCCCTACAGGCCTTTGCCCAAAGACTCTCTCCAGGTTTCCTGTGTGACCGCTTTAGGTACTGGTCCTCCCATCTCTTCAGAAGTTACAAGTTTTGGTTTAATGAGTCTGACCTTACTTGCCCTAACTCTGGAAATGAAAGTCACAGTTGCAGCAGTACCAACAAGTCCTGGTGCTCACCACCGTCAGGTGCTCACCCTGGTCCCACCCTGCGGGACCAGGGCAATCCCGGCCACCCGTTTTGCCCCGTCCCAGAGGGGCTTGTGCAACCTCCGGGCGATCTGGCCCAGAGCCACCTCCCCTGGGCCCCTCGTAATGCCCGGCCCAGCTGGCGGGGATTTCTCAGCAGCAGCCCAGGAGGGTTTCCATCTGCCTGTCCGAACAGAGCTGCGGCTCCACCATGAGCCTTGGGGCTGCGGCTCCCGGGGAGACAGGTGAGGACACCCGCAGTGAGTGGGTGAGAAGAGCTCCGTGGGGAGGGTTGAGGGCACCCGGGCCGGGGAAGGTACGGGCGGGCAGCCCCGGTGCCGACCACGCGGTGCCTCCTGCGGCGCTCCGGGCCTGAACCGTGCAGGGCAGGGTAGGGCCGGCCCGACCCGGCCCGTGCTAGGGGCAGCCCCGCGCGGTTCCGCTGTGGGAGCGGGGCGGGCCCGGCAGCGCGGAAGTGCGGGAACGGCGGCGCCTTCCCCGGGCGCGGGGTGAGTGTGCGGCCGTGGCCCCGCCCCGCGCGGGGTGCTCGGGGAGCCGGAGCCCGCAGCCTGGCCCGCACGGAGGCCACCGTGCCCGGCCGCTGCCGCGCCGGGTGAGCGACCCTGCCGCCGGGCCCGAACCGGCCCCCGAGCTCCGGGCGCTGCCGTCCCGGCCGCCGCTGCCGCTTCCCCTGGAGAGGAGTCGCTGAGGAGCCGCCGGCGAAGCGATGCAGGAAGGTGAGCGGCAGCCTGGGAGCCAGCAGGCAGCGCGGCCTGAGCACTGACTCCGTTGGCCCTGCAGCGCGGAAAGTGCTTCCCCCCTTGCGCTTGGGCTTGGGAGATGACCCAAGAGTCCCGTGGCAGCCCCAGGGCACGGAAGGCCGCGCATCCCTTGTTTTCCAAATGCCCTGTCGTCCTGGGGTGGTTGCTGGGACCCCTCTTGCAGCCCATAGAGCCTGGCCAGTGGTGGGAGGAAGGCCCTGATGAATGCTGGGTTGTTTCCACCCCTGCACACTGTTTCTCCACAGCCATTGTGATCACCGAGCAGCCAGTATCCGTCTCCGTCCCCTTGGGATACTCCTTCACCCTGCGGTGCAGAGCCGAGGGACAGACATTGCTGCAATACCAATGGTTTTGTCAGTACCAGGTAATGGTGGGAACAGAGGTAGCCCTGGTGTGGCATCAGGCTGGGTCCCTGCCCACTGATGGAACTGGCCCTCTGTGGGGAGACCTGGTGCGAACAGGGAAGCTAGGAGAGGGGGGAAAGGATACATGTGCATGACAAGGGCCTCTGCCCCTCATAATATCATAGAATCACCAAATGCTTTGGCTTGAAGGGACCTTAAAGCTCCTCCAGTTCCAAACCCCTGCCACAGGCAGGGACCCCTTCCACTGGAGCAGCTTGCTCCGGACCCTTGTGTCCAACCTGGCCTTGAACACTGCCAGGGATGGGGCAGCCACAGCTTCTCTGGGCACCCTGTGCCAGCGCCTCAGCACCCTCACAGGGAAGAGCTTCTGCCTAAGAGCTCAGCTCAGTCTCCCCTCGGGCAGGTTCAAGCCATTCCCCTTGGCCTGTCCCCACAGGCCCTTGTCCCAAGCCCCTCTCCAGGTTTCCTGCAGCCCCTTTAGGCACTGGAGCTGCTCTAAGGTCTCCCCTTCAGGAGCCTTCTCTTCTCCAGGCTGCCCCAGCCCAGCTCTCTCAGCCTGGCTCCAGAGCAGAGCTGCTCCAGCCCTCGCAGCAGCTCCATGGCCTCCTCTGGCCTCGCTCCAACAGCTCCAGGTCCCTCTTGTGCTGCTGCCCCAGAGCTGGATCAGGGCTGCAGGGGGGGCCTCCCCAGAGCCCAGCAGAGGGGCAGGATCCCTTCCCTGAACTAGTGCTCATGCTCTGGGGGTGCAGCCCAGCACACGGGAGGGTTCTGGACTCATGTGTGCACTCACAGACAGGTTATGGGGAGCTTCTCCTCACCTAAAACCTTCAAGTTCTCCTCAGGGCTGCTGTCAGTCCTGTCTTCTCCGGCCTGTGTCTGTGCTGGGGCTTGCCTGATCCAGAGTCAGGACCCTTCAGTTAGCCTTATTTAACTTCATGAGGTTCCCATGAGCGCATCTTTCAAGCCTGTTCAGGTCCCTCTGCATCACATCCCTTCACTCCAGTGTGTCAACAGCTTGGTGTTGTCAGCAAACTTGCTGAGCATGCACTCAGTCCCACTGTCCATGTTGCTGACAAAGAAGTTAAACAGTGCTGGGTGGGATGTGCATTGAAAAAGCTCCTTCTGTCACATCCCTGCAGCTGGAGGAGGGGAGGATTTCCACTTTCCCTGGTCTTACAAGGTGCCTGCTGGTGTCTTCTGCTACCAGCAATGAAGGAGACTTGCTGCCTACCACCTGTGTTTTCCCTTTAGTCTGTCTGCAACCAAATTCCTGGTGCTACCAAGCAAGACTTGCCCATCACTGCACAACAGACCCAACTCTACACCTGCAGAGTCAACGACCTCTACAAAAATGCCGTCTTCTCTGATTGGGTGAAGGTGGAGGTCCATCACTGTGTTGCCAGAGGTATGAGCATGTCTTGTAGCTTTCCCACATTTTATGCTTTGCCCACCCTTGGAGAGTGATCGTGTGCAGTTCCCAGGGCAGCATGTCCTCCCAGCTCAAAAATCCCAATACAGAAGCGTTAATTCAGGAACATGAGCCTGCAGGCCTAACCCGGACCTCTGTGCCCATTCTCTGGGTGATTCAGGTCCCTGTCATGGTCTGCATAACCTCAGCTGTAGGTACCTGCTCCTCTTTCCTAGAGTTATACTGGGTGTTCGCCTGTTTGCTCTTGACAGTGGTACTGGACAAGGCAATATGGCTATTTCAGAGCTGAGCAAAAATAACTCCAGGTGTGGTTGATGTCAGCATGTTGACTTTGTGCCATTGGCAGGGAAGGGCAAGCATCAAGTTTGGGAAGCCAGAGGCAGGGTTTTGGTGTGTCATTTACTATTATGGGTGTCACTCTCCAGGATTCCCTGCTCCCAAAGCAGAAGGGTGCAGTGGTGATGCTGCAGTCACAGCCATCCTGTGGTTCCTCTTGGAGTGGGTGGAAAAGCTTGCTTTTTCCGGCAGTGTGCACAGGTTCTTGTACAGAGAGAAAAAATGACCCCTGTTTCCTGTCTTTGCGGAGGGAGGACCAATTCTGTGTCGCTGCTTCACAGGACTGCCCCCTTGGCTCTGGCAAGGAGAACCAGTCATTGTCCTCAACCCCACTGAGCAGAGGGTGGATGTGGGTAAGCCGCTACAGCTGCAGTGTGCTGCCATGGGGGTCCCAGCCCCCAGCTACCAGTGGTACCAGAATGGAAACCTTCTAGAAAACCAGAAGAAAAAAAAACTCTGGGTAATGTTGTCTTGGGGTAGTTCAGACACTTGGGCTGCTGAGGTGGGTGATAGGAGAAACTCGTTGCTGGGTGGTGGGCATGGGAGAGCCTTAGAAACCTTGGAGAGGCTGTTGAAAATTGTGTCATTGTCATCCTGGACATGACAGTGTCAGTCCTTAAGCCTGGCTTGCATCTCCCTGGCAATCTCGGGCATGTTTTGATCTGTGTGATATGTGGATGCCAGCAGAAAACAGTGTCTCGTTGCCTGTCTTTCCAGTCCCTCCAGCCCTCTCCAGCCTCATGCTCAGCAGTTTTTCCCTGCTGCCTTGCAGGGTTGTGGGAGAGCACTCCATGTATCACCCCAGTTGCTTTGGTAGCTGACTGAAGGCCTCCAGGTGAAGAGGGAATATGTTTTATGGGCTTCTTTCAAAGCTGCAGATGTTTCTCCAAGACGTAACCCATTCATAGATGTGTCACGGGCTCTTGGCAGGTTTCTCATTACTTTTTGCAGCAGTGGCACGTGAACAGCTGTTGCATGTTAGCTCAGGGACTGTGGACTGATGCAGCTGCAGGCGTACTGCCTGCCTGCAGGAGAACTAGAAGGAAAAGTGGCTAGTCGTCGCAGAAAAGAGTCAGGAACACAGCAAAAATTGTGGCTTTATTTTGGGTTACTGGCTGAATGCAACAATGCTGTCTTCTTGAAGCAAGAAAGGCAGATTTCCTTGTGGGGCATCACGTGAAGGATAATGAAGACAAGAGATCCAATCTCTTCTCAGGCATAATAGATGATATTAGGGGACAGTGGTCTCAGATTGCGCTTTTCCCAGGCAAGTTCAGGCTGGGGATTAGAAAGGGGTTCTTCATTTGGAGGTGGGTGGTGCTGCTTGAGTCAGAAAGGCAAAAAGATGTCCATCCTTGGGGGTTTTCAGTATTTAACTAGACAAAATCATGGCCAACCTGACTCGGTGGTGGCTTTCTGAGTAGGAACCTGGGCTGGAGAACCACATAGGTCCTCACCAGCTGGTACTGCTGTGATTATTGTCAACGTCAAGAGAGATGCATAATTGTTGAAAACTTGCCAGAAGAGAGCTATGATCAGAAACCTAGAAAATGTTACCCAAAAGGAAAACCAGGCAACCTTCTGATTTTGGCCACACACTATCCTCCTAGTGTGGCTCCTGAGGCAGAATATGGCTATGACACAGAGTTTTGAGGCTGCTGAATAAAGAAGGGAAATCAATTGGACAGGGGATTCTTGCGCTCTACAAGCTGGGGTCAGCAGCCGACCTTAGCATAGAAACGTAGAACCATAATGCTTTGTGTTGGAAAGGACCTTAAGATCATCTAGTTCCAACACCCCTGCAATGGGCAGGGACACCTTCGCCTAGACCAGTGTGCTCAAGGCGCTGTCCAGCCTGGCCTTGAATACCTCTGGGGCCACTGAACTTCCTAGAAAAGAAGTCATGGGAAACCTTAGCTTTGTGAGGCAAGGAATGAAGAATAAAGACTTTTCATTCCAGGAACACAGGTGCCTTTGGCAGATACCGTCAGGGGGCTGTAAACTTTCACCATAAATAATGTAATTTAACTTTTGATCTGTCTAGATCTCCCATGCAAAGGTCAGTGACTCTGGCACATACCTCTGCTGTGCCTCCAATAGCCACGGCGAGCACTGGACCAATGCAGTGGATATTCACGTAGGTGAGCAGAGCCAACCCACGTCTGCTTTGCTGCAAATCACCTTCTAGCATAAAAAGTAATTGGAGGGCAGAAGGGAGATTAGTGGTCTTGTCTGGAAGCGCTGAACTGATGAACAGGGAGCCCAGTGCTGGTGTGTTACCCTGTGGCTCAATCAGTGCAGGGGGAAGCTGGGCTCCAGGGGATGGGATTAGGGGAAGTAGGATGCATGGCTTTGTTACTTGCATCTTCCCCTGGCGTGGATGGATCTTGCACGCTTTTATTAACACTAACAAGTTTAAAATAGCACTTCTGCAGGGAGACAAAGGTGTGGCACTTCAGAGTAGGGATGCAACAGGGAGCTCTGCAAGAGAACTGGAGTGTCCTGGCAGTGCTGTGGCAGCTGTCAAGGAAAGAGCCTGCAGAGTACAGTTTCACACCCTGGATATACTGGATAAAATGATCTCAGCAGAGCTGTGCAAGCCCTGCTGAGCAGCAAGCACAGGCATCTGTCACACTGTGATAAATAGAATTCTTTGATAACAGAGTTCAGAGGCAGTAAGGGAAGCGGCGTCTGTAACAGAAAAAAGCCAAAAGCCAGTGGTCCACTCTCCTGTGGTGTAGGATGCTCCTGGGTCCTGCAGTGTGTCACAGACCTGACATCTGAGGGTAGGTTGAGCACTCTCGGATTCTCATGTAGTTTTCTTGCCTTGCCAAGGTGTTGATTTAATGGCTCCTCGGCCAAATTGCAGCAGGCTCCTATGCTAAAACTCATTTACAGCCTTGCTGAGATGAAGCAATGCACTCAGACACACAGAGATGGAGAGGATGTTGTTATTTTAGTAAGGTTCAGCTCCTTTGGGCTCACAGCCCAGGCTTGATGCTGCATGAGCTAAGAGGGAGAAGATGGGTCCCCAGAGCCTTCAGCATGCTCCACCTTCGGTGTGTGAAGCCTGCTTTGGCCCTCTGCCCTGCTGTGGGACAGGAATAATATGGGCTAACTTTAGTGGCTCCTTACTCCATCTAGAGATTCTATGCCATAAGCTTCTCATGTCACCTTTTAGGCTGGCTTTAAAATTGCTCCAGAGTGTAAACTGGCCCTGTATAGCTAGAGAGTACTCTCCTTGCCTCCTCACAGATGGCAAAACAGCATCGAGGGAGGACAGGCAGTGAGAAGGGTGCACTGGACTGGGATGGGTTCAAGATGCTACAGCTGCGTAGCTTTACCATGTGACAGTCAGCTCTGTTGGAGGCAGGAAAGGATGAATGTCTTTCCAGGCAACCCTGGTGCATTTAGCAACACTGGTTTGGGTACTAAACTCTTCCAGACCTGAGTTTTAGGCAGTTAAAAATATGCCCTTGATTTCTTCTTTTTGAGCAGTAGGGCTTTAGGGTTTTCTCGTGGGCTGGATTATATTTTGAAATTTAAATGGGAAAAGCTGGAGCTGTTGGGTAATGATGATTTTAAGAAACTGGGCAAGGGAACTTGTGGAGGTCATGAAAGTGAGTCGCATTTAGGGTGGCTTTTCTAAACTGGAACTGCTAAAATTTTGTCTTGATCAAAAGCAAACAGGTGGCTTCCCCTGCACCGGCTGCTTGTGGGGAGAACTCTCTGTTTCCCAGCTTATGCTGAGCCTTAGTTACTGTGTTGCCTTTGCTTTCCCTGCAGTGAGCGGGTGGGCAACTCATCCGGGGAAGCGCGGCAGCCCCAGCAGGGCTGGTGCAAGTAGCACAGACCTGCTGATGGGTTCAAGCTTCTCCGTGCTGCTCTCTTTCCCCTGGCCTGCCTCTTCTCCAAGCTTTGCTTCCCAGCTGCTCAAGATTTCATACATCGGGCAGGATTCCATACATCCTTCTAAAATCACCAGACCCATGTTTTTAAGGTTAGCAATCGGGCGCGAGGAGTGTTGCTTGTGTGGATGCTTCATGCTATATGATCCAGCTTTGCATTGCTGGGGGATGTTGGAACAGGTTTCAGACTTGTGGGAGTTGGCACTGGGGTACTGGGTACAGGCTTATCATTTCTTCTGTCTTTTCCAGGTACATGTCACTCTGAAAAGTTTTTTGGTGAGTCCTGTCATCTTCCTGAGCAATTCTTCCCCTAATTAGAAGTCAGGCTTCAGGGTAGAAGGGAGGACAAGGCATAGGAATGTTTTTCCTGCAGATATCACTTCAAGCCTCTATGCCCACCTTGTCATGGGCTCTATGCTTCTGGGATCAGAACTGCAAGGCACAGAATGAGTCACATCCCAAGTCCTGATCAGTTTCCACAAGTGGAGTAAGATTATTCCTAATGAGTAACCCAATCTTCACATCTGTGCCTACCAAAGCGAGTTTAAAAGTATTGTTCACATGACACCTTTTCTCTTCCTTGCAATACCTCCTTGGAGCAGGGAAAAACTCCTTGCTCCCACCACTGCTGAGTACCATAAATTTGTTTTTTTCCTACAGTGGAAGGTGGGGATAAAATGAAAGCAAGGATCTTGGGGTTTCTCTCTTTCAGCCTCTTGGGGAAAGGACCTTCTACCCTGGCTCAGTGCATCTGTGCACTGCTGGCATGCAAGACCTCTGGTTATGGTAGGGTAGCTGCTGAATAGCCTCAGTAGTGTGAATCCTCCTGCGCTCCTGGGATTTTGGTTGTTAAGTGAAAACTTTCCAAGTCTCTTGCAAACTGATGATTTGTGTATTTTGTGAGTGTTCAGAGAGCCAAAGGCTTTCTGCATGGTGCTTCAGGCTTATAGCAACATAGGGGCTGTCCTTCCTGCCTACATGTAAGAAAAGATTTCCTGTGTTCTGACTCCAACAGGAGGAGGTGAGACCTTGTCTCCTGCTGAGCATTTACAGCTTTGTCACTTGGTGTTTCTTTTAGCTACAGGCAAGATAGCACTTTTAGTGGGCAACAACCACTACCAGCATCATCCCAACCTCATGGCTCCCGTCATGGATGTGTTTGAGCTGAGTCTCCTTCTGGAGCAGCTGGGCTTCCAGGTTGTCTCCCTTCTGGATCTGAACAAGACTGAGATGGAGGCAGCAGTCAGTCGGTTCCTGGAGCTCCTGGGAAAAGGAGTCTATGGTAAGGCAAAGCCAGCCCAGTACCTGCCAGTGCTGAGCAGGCAGCAGCTGATGTGCAGTTAGTAGGGGTAGAGGACAGGGGGGAGGAGGGATTTGGCAATTTTGTGAACAGCTGTTGAATTAAAAAAGAGGAAATTGAACTTTCCTTTGGGGGATATGGGGGCAAGGGATACCTGCAGCATAGCCTGCAGTGATGCCAGGCTTTTAGGGATCCAGAACTTCTGATGATGAATGGGAGAAAGTGTTTTGATTTTGATGACAAAATTGAGGTTGACTATCAACTGCCCCCACCACTCTCCTTTGTGAGAGTGGGAGCTCCTTTTTAGTGGTGACTGCTACAGCTGACAATGATTTCCCTGTTTCTCTTTCCTGATGGTCTCATTTGGGACTTTGCTTTTTTTGCAGAAGAGCATTCCCAGCTGCAGCTGGCTTTGAACTTATTGCATGCTGTTCTCAGAGAGAAGCATTCCTCAAACACAAAACCAACTAGCAGATCTTCTGGGTCTTAAAGCAGATGTTCAGATGTGGTGGTGAAAGTAGTTTCTTTGGGGTTTCTGAAGTTCTCTCAACCTGACAGATACCCTGAAAACACCTTGCAGGTGTAGGGTTTTTTTTAAATTCCAAACCAACATGCAAGGTATATCTTTACTGCCCTCCCAGTTGCATGGCATAGCAGGGCACTCGGTGAAGGTCAGTGTCCAGGTCCAACCCTGCGCTCAGCAGGAAGTTTGGAGGTTTTGCAGTGGACAAGGACAAAGCCCTGAGTGAAATGCTGCAAAGCCACCTTGTTCCTGGAAGCACTGACTCAGCCCAGGAGGCTGAGCTGGCGGGGAAGGGCAGAACATGGTTGTCACCACTCCAGCCGAGCACATCACCTGATGGCAGCATATTTCTGTGACTTCACTTGCAGCTTCCTCTTGCGGTTGCTCTCTAAAATCCATCTGTATCTTGGGCTTTACCTCCTCTCCCAGGCCAGAGACATCTCTGGTGGGCTTCTCTGCTTGTCCCATGGCACTGCCATTCCCAGTCTCTACTCATGTTGTGTGAAGACTGAATAGCATTTTATCCATGGCACTTCCCTTGTTTTCATAAGCATTTGACAGAAAAACTATTTGGAAATGGCAAACCTTTCATGCTGTCGTGCCTTATTTAAACTTCTAGTGCTTTTCTGCATTTGTGGCCACTGATCCTTCCTGGAAAACTGACTTTGTGCGCTGTAGGAAAAACACTAACAGCTGGGTTAGTGAACCTTGAAGCCTCAGGTGTTTGCTAGGCATAGCCTGCAAGTGCTTTTCTTTGGATGGTGGTTTTCTTTACAGCTTTCTAAGCTGAGTGGTCTACTATTATTTGGAGGCAGTGAACCCCCGCACAGGCTGATCCCAGCAGCATAGAATCATAGGATCATAGAATAGTTAGGGTTGGAAAGGACCTTAAGACCATCAAGTTCCAATTGAGGACTCCTGCTGTAATTGGTGGCATCCAGACTTAATGGTGAGGCATAGGGTCAGTCTGCCTGCTGACTGCCCCTGGGTTTCAGCATCTGAAGTGCGATGCCTCTCACCGTGATGCTTCTTCCAACATTTCTCCAGCTGTTTTCCTTACATAAAATATAAAGAACCAGGTGAAGCACAAATCACTTAAATTAACTTGTCTTAGTAATAAAAACACACATTAGGAAAAAGCTAACAACTTCTAAACTGTGTATTTTTCAAGGCACTAACTCCAGGATAAACATCAAGATCTGACTGAGAGGTTTAGGATTCATGTAACTCGTACACAGGGCAGATAGTGGTGAGAGAGCAGCTTCAGAAACAACCTAAGCAGCCTGTTAAAACTAAAAAGCCCCCCAGGGGCATGTGTGATAGCCAGTCTTGAAGGTCCATGTATGTATGTCAGACAAGCACCTGCAGAGAGGCATTCCAGTGCTTCTGCCTTTTTTTTCCAGTTCAAGGACCTTGGAGGTGCCATCTCCTGTGTAGCCATCACCAAGGCTGAAGTCAGGAGAGCTTTGTTTAGACATTCAAGTGAAACAGGGAATTGGGAGGAGAGGGCTGACTAGTGAAAGACTGTCACTGTGCTGAAGTGAGAGGCTCTGGTCTCACATGTCTCACACAGACACCTCTCAGCATGCCCAAGGAGTGAGGCTGGCTGGCTTCTGAGGTTTAACTCCAGCTGGGGCATTCATACATCTTTTTGCTGAAGCAGATCAGAACTAGCTACATGATTAGTGTTTGAGCATGGTGCATATTGTTGCTTCTAGCTATTTGTTTAGCTTCAGGATGCTGGTAAGAGCTGAAGATGTGTCTGTCCTCCCTAGGGCCCTTTGGGTGGCTGCCCTCCCTTGCATGTCCTTACTGACCTGTCTGTGATTTGCACTTGTACAGCGATTGGTAAGAAGGGACTTTGGAGTTATCACCGCAAGGTTAGGGTTGGTTGTAGCTCTCCTTATCAGGTCAAGACTTCCAGGCATGGAGCCCTCCATTTATCTGCCTGCCTGTCCCAGGCTGCACCACTCTCCAGGGAGGTCTTTCCTTCTGTCAGACATGACCCTCCAAGGGTTGGTGTTCATTGCCCCATGTTGTTTGGTCAACTCTGACACAAGAGTTGGGCTTAACTGCTCCTCCAGGAGCTGTTAGACCTTCCTCTGCCTCCATGTCTCCAGCCCAGCTCAGTTCCTTCACTCTCTCCTCACAGGCCCTGGATATCTTGTAGCCTCTTCTCTACAAGAAGCCAACATCTTTGTAGCCTCTGATGGCCTTTTTCCAGCTTCTCCACCCTTCTCTTGAACTGAAGTCCCTAAAACTGGGCACTGGATCTAAGCAGCATCTCCTGGGGCCAAGGAGAGTGGTGACAGCTTCTCTGGAGATCCTGTGTCTGCTAGCATAGCCCTGTGCCCAGTGAATACTGGCTCATCTTCAGCATGGTTTCCACTGTGACTCCCAAGCCCTTATCTCTAGGCTTGCTGCTCAAGCATTACTCAGCCCCAGCCAAAATGCTACCTGGGTTTATCTGCCTCAGTGCAGGATTTTGCCACTGTTACCGAATTTGTTCTTAAATTTCTCAACCCCAGGGCAAAAGCTGGTTTCATTTTCAGGCACAGGAATATTGTTTAGCTGTGTATTTAAGGTGATCCAAAGGCTGCTCTAATTCACCGTATGGACGGAGTGGCTCATCTGACTGGTTTTCCTCCAGATCTCCTCTCAGAAGAGCTGCAGAGGATTTTTGAAGGCTGCAAACATTCCCCGAGTGGTCTCATCATGCAGCCTTCAGGCAAACATGAAATCTCCCTGGAATTTATTTGGAAGTCTTAAAAAGTCCGGAATCAAAAAAGTGCAATGAGAACAGAAAGCTGTGAGTGAAATACTAGGATATGATACTATATGCTGTCATGCCTTAATTAAGCTGCATGCTGAAGCTTCCTGTTTTATAAGCAGTGCCTGGAGCTTCCGTTTTTAAACTTGGTACTTGGAAGCTTGTCCCTGATCAGCAGTTTTGACCCACGAGATGTGGGAAGAACACTGAAATATTAGCTTGGAATAAAATACACTTTTCCTTCTCTAGTCCAGTCATTGACTTTCCTGTTCAGGAGGAGAGACGAGGTCCAGGAGAGATTTGCAAAGCTGCTCAGCTGATGTGAAACTTGTGTCATTTTGATTTGAACACAAATCTTTGTGGTTTATGTAGTGTGGGGAGCACTTGGCGGTACATTCAGGGTACACAACAAGGCTTCACAAGTTACAAGATTTAATGATTGATCATTCTTTGTGTTTTTTTCCATAATATTTCATTTTCTACCAAGTATCAGTGATGCTGCCTGGTAAGGGATGTCATCACCTTCCTTGCACATACAGCAGTGCTTGATAACTTGAGGGGCCAAACCTGAACTGCCTGCATCTGATTTTTGCAGAAGGGCCCCTGTTTTATACTTTTATAGTCTCAGCAGAGGTTTTGATCTGAAAGCTCTAAAAATATAAAACTTCTGCAAATCAGAGCCCTCCCTTCCTCTGGCTGATGATCCACAAGAAGAGGAACCCAAACCCTGTGGGCAGCTGTGAAGACAGCATTTGAGTAACTTTCCATCATCCCCTGAGAACAGAAACCAAAGATGACTTGAAGCCTTTTTTGGTGTAATATCATGCTTTCCATCCTCCATACAATGACATCATGCTTTCAGTCATTCAGCTCCTACCCCATTCAATGCATACCTTGCAGGATCAGAGATCAGAGTGAGTGCCTTGTAAACTACTAAGGCAGGAACCTTGGAGGGAAAAGAGAGGAGAGGTTACTCTGAAGTTTGGGCTTTGGCAGCAAATTTGACTAAGGAATTTCTCCTGAGAAGCTTGCCCCTTAGCCACTTGTTCCCATTTATGACCTCTCATTTTTTACTGTCCCTCAGTTGTGGTAGTTTGCATCTCTTTGCAGAGCTATTTTTAACCTGTTCCAGTTCCCCAAGTTGGCTTTCACCCTTACTCCCAAGCAGTGGCATCAGTGCTGGGAAGGGGTAGTTGGCCACTAGACAGCTTTCATTCAAGAACCTGCAGCCCGTGTAGGAATCCCTATGCAGCAGGAATGCCCTTCGACAAACACATGGGTTGGACAGAAGCACTAGCTTGGGCTGTGCCAGGCTCCTTAGCGCTGGCTTTCCAAGCTGGATGTCCCTGTGTTGCCATCTCTTGTGAAGGCAGAAACCTTTTTGAAGAGTTGTGCTTAAGAGTAAAACTCAAAACCAAAATTCTTGTTGGGTATTGGTCTTTCCACCAATATTTGGATAAGCCTGACTCCTCATCAGCCTTACAGGGCTGGTGTCTGGTCTGAAGTTCTTGAAGCATGTGGTCCATGAGTTCCGGTCATCTGGAGATCAAGTCTGTCTAATTTTTCACGAGCTTCTAGGTGTGTAAATACAGGCAGACATTTTAAATCTGGAGAGTGTTTCCCATCACCTAATCCACTGCTAGTCTCTTTTCCAAAACTAGTAAGCTGACAAACGTCTTATTTAAAAGCCTGTTAAGGTATATTTCATATTGATAAAATACTTTGTTGTAACTATTCTATGATTCTTGCCAAGAGATGATGATTAACCAAGACTTTGTCCAAAGGTGGCCTTCACCCTGGCATTCCTGAGAACATGGAGTTCTCTTTAGTCCACCTTTCTAATGATTATCAGTGGAGGAATACCAATTAAAGTTCACCTTTTGAAGGAAAAGCATCCTACCACCCTGGAACTTACTATTATCCTTCCCCATTTACTGCATTTCTCCTCCTGTTTGCATTCTCTCCTTGGTTTTCCCCTCAGTGCTACCTAGATGCTGAGTTTGGGTGTTGTAGCACAAATGGTTATGGAAATGGGTAAACCCAGTGACTTTGGTGCTGAAGACCACAAGTGCAGGAGAGCCCCTCAGAGCTGCTTTTATCTCTGCTGAAGGGAACAGACTAGAAAAAGCCAAATTTGTGAGGTCGGTTTCAGAGGTGCCCCCTGCAGCAGTATCCCTTCAGGACAGGAGGTGGGACATGGCTGTGCAGAGCTAGTTACAGACCTGGAGGTTCACACCATGACTCATCCTCCTCTCTCCCTGTTACCAGCTATATTCTACTATGCTGGGCATGGGTATGAACATTTGGGGAGGAACTACATGGTCCCAGTTGATGCTCCACAGCCCTATGCCCCTGAGAACTGCATCAGCGTGCAGAGGATCCTCCAGAGGATGCAGCAGCAGCAGACGGCCCTGAACCTCATCCTGCTGGACACCTGCAGGAAATGGTAGGTTGCTTTTCCCCCTTCCTCACCTGCAATGAGCAGAGCATGGCATTGTGAGGAGTCAGGGGAGACAGCCCCCACTTCAGCAGTGGGCTTCTACACAACTATGTGGGGTGGTCCCTTGGATTGCTGGGACTGCGTCCTCTGTTGTGCTGCTGAGCCCAGTTTGTCAGGTTGTAAAATCAGCAAGACTGTCAGTTCTTGCAGGATGTCCTGGGAAGACCAGTCTTCCCAGATGCTGAAATCATCAGATGCTGCCTGAGAGAAGGGGGTGGAGACACTCTTATGATTTTTTGGGGTGAAAAAGCCTATCAAAACCAGACAAGTTGTCTAAAGCCTGTGGAGGGATGGGTCTCCCCTTACACAGATTGTTGGCATAGGGTTTGTCCTTTTGTGCTTCAACCCCCTGCACTGAACCACCCGACCCAGCAGGCTTGTACCAGCATCTTGCTGACCTCATACTTTCATGTTGCATGTTGCCCACATGCTCAGGCTCTCTTCTCCTGGCTCCGTTTCAGTTAACATCTCAGTGAAAAGAGTGCAGCATGATGGGGAAAATATTTTAAGTTGTGGTACTTGGTTTTTACTGGCCTTAGATGCTTCTGAAGTGCTCATGTTGTAATGTGGGACCCAGGCTGCTGCATTTTTCCTCTCAGATCATCATTTTTCCTCTGTCTGTGGAAAGCTCATCATTCTCCCTTTGCCTGCAGCTTCTGGGCTGCAGGAAATTACTACTTGTCCGTTTTCAGCAGAGGTAGGTGGACTATTCCAGTAGAAGCTGTTATTAGTCCATTTATTTCAATCTCCTGAGGCAGATTTACAAGTCAGAAAAGACCTGGAGATCAAATGTAGAAATTTCCCTCTTCCTTCTGTGGTTCCTGTACTAAGAACCGTAAGGATGACAGGGATTTTGATACCGTTGCCCTGAAAGAGCTCCCAGCCCCTGGAAAGTTGCTAAATCTTAGATGCCTTTTAGCTGGAGAGGTGGGAATGCTCACTTTAAATAGCTTATACACTGGCTGCCACAGCGCTGAGTTGCTAGTGTCACTGGAGCTTGATGTTCTCTGATACCTGCCCCTGAATGCCCCACAGTGAAGCATCCCCTTTCTTCCTTCTTGCTCACCACTGCTGCTGACATGTTGCTTCCCTGCACTATCAAGTGCCTCTGTGGCACATGTGGCAGCAACTTGCTGCTCTCCCCAGCATGACACCAGGCAGGGGATGTCTTGCAGCCAAGTAGGAGCACTTGGCTTTCATGGATGCACTGGTGGAACTTGGCTAGTATGCCTCTTGTAGCTCATGTGAGTGCAGTGTGTGATGGAGAGATAGTGTGGTGACAATGGAGTCTGCACAGGGCTTGCTAACACAGTGACCATCTATAAAATAGCTTTTGAGCTGATGTCGCTTTTCTTGGCATTGCTAGTGGTTTCTGTGCTCAGTGGAGCCCTAATGACGTGTTGGGAAAAGGATGCAGCATGAGAACCACTGTGATATTAGGCATTGTTGTGAGGCTGTTTTTCCTCACCTAAGCTTCATACTTCTTTCCTCCCCTTCCCCACAGCAAGCGCAGCACACAGTGCAGTAGGCGTTATCACCGGGCTTGTGGGGATTGCTGTAGAAGCTCTCTCCTGAGCTCATTTTTCTTGGGAAGTTGCTGTTCCAGCTCAACAAAGCATTTGGATTTCAGAGCTGCATGTGTTTACACTGCTCTGTAAAACAAGGCTCCTGGGGCCTTCTTTCCCAATGCCCTTTTGGTTGGACTGGTACTGCAAATCTGTTGACAGTCCAGTCAGCTATGCATGAACTGGGAGGAGCTGTGTCTGTGCTAAGAGGATCTCACCCGGAATATCTCTTCATCCCATATGTTGGCATCAGAAATGCCAAGGCCATGAGAAACACAACCCTCTTTGCCAAGTTGTAGCAGATGGTCAGCTTCAGCAGAGAAGGAGCTAGGAACACTGAGCCTGTGTGTAGCCTTATACAGTTATATGCTGATTCTGGGTGAATGCGATTGCCTCTTCCAGGAATTCCCCAACTTATGAGGGTTTCTAGCATATGCCACTTGGGACAGAAGGAGGACACAATCTCCTAACTGGGATGCAGATAAGAAACAGATTGCATCAGATGCACGGTGTAACTTAGACTGGTTTTGGGTCTGGAGCAGGAGGGATGCTGCCGCCTTCTCCAGTGTCAGGTCGCAGTCTGGAAATGGCACTGCTGAAGCTCGCTTTCTGCTGGGCAGGATCACAGCCAGCATTTCTGCTGCAGGCACTAGCTGGCCTCGCTGAAGCCGTGGATGCCTGCTGGTGCAGGTTTGCCTCAGCTCTTGTCTGCAGCTTTGGGTAGATGTCCCCAGCATGGGGACAACGGGTGCTTGGCTTATTTTGGGATCCCATGTCATATTTCTCCTTGGACCTGGAATCCCGGATTTCTGCATTCATTTAGGAGCAGACAAATCTCTCTGCTCAGTGTTCATATTTAGAAGCATATCTTCTTTCCCACATTTTCTCTTCTGATCGTCTTTAAAGAACTTACACAAGCCAGATGAATGTTGCTATTAAACATCACCAGACTGCACCACCAGAACTGGTAATGTGCTGGCTGCTGGCAACACAACCATCCCTTCTGCTCTCCTTAGCATGCCAGCTTCACCCCTGAGAAACTGTGCTGGAATTGAATAACAGAGAATAATGCCACCTCTGTGCCTGGCTCTTATTCCTGTGTGACTGAGAACAGTTCCAAGTCACTGGTGTAAACTGGAGGCAGCCAGTCCCTATTCTGTTCAGTTTGGCTGCAGTCAGATGGGCAAGGCATGTCCATTATGTGCAACCATAATATCTTTCTTGGTGGAAACCAGAACCACCTTAGAGATATACCTCATTTTGGAAATAACAGGTTCTGAGCTCATTGAGCTGCATCTAGACAAGGGTTCTGGAACCAGGTTTGGGTTCTGAGACCTGGGTGTGTATCCTGATCCCATCTCTCAGTGAGATCTAGAGGTGCATCAGCTGTAGCTGGGGCAGGTGTGTGCGTGGTCTGGAAGGGAACTGTGGGACACCCCAGATCCCCGGGACAGGTGGTTGAGCTGTAGCCATGCAATGTGCACACCTCTGACTTCTTTATGGACAGTCGTCCCTTGGGCAACAGGGAACCCGTGTGTTCTCTGCACTGTTGTGCTGCCTGGGCTTGTTACAAACCAGCCTCAGGAAGGAGGAGGCATGATTGTATCCACAGCCCAGGCTCACTTGCCAGGCAGGGAGCAGTTCACCAGTGCAGACAGATCAAAGCTAGCCCTATCTACTCACTTCCCCATGGTTGTGTTCTCTGTGGGTTGATCTTACTGCCATCTGTAGGAGATGGACTTGGTGGAGCTTAGGGGTTTTGTCCCCTCCAGGCACATGCTGATGGCCGTCCTTGACACTGACTAGTGCCTTTGTCTGCTCTTTCAGGTACAACTCTGAGTGTGCCCTTTCACAGGTACAGCCACTAGAACCCTGGGGCAATACTATTTATGGATATGCCACGTAAGTATTGGCAAATGTGGTTTGGCAAGCCCATGCCACAACATAGAACCAAGTGCTGGCACAGCCATATCTTCTGGCATCCTTTTGTGCATGGTGGCTTTGAAGACTTGAGAGGGCTTTTCTGATGTTTCCTCTGGCTCTCACCCTCCACCTCTAGCATTTGCTGTTCAGGCAATTCTATCCTTCTTCCTGTCATCATTAGTGGCAGCCTGTGCATCAGTTACAGGTTATGCATGAAGATGGCATCAGCTCCTGTCGTCTGTCCTTCCAAGCCTGAGCCTGATGCCCAAGGCACATGTGCTCTGAGATCACCTGAAGCCTTCTGAGATGATCAGTGTTGCTTACTGCTCTAGTGCCAATTCTGCTGGCTTTTCAACTACTGACACTCCCCTAGGTTGGCAAAAGAAGCTTTACTGTCCTCTGTGTACTTCCCACCCTCTCCTGGGCCAAAACCAAGCACTTTGTGTCATTGTTTGGGAAGCCAAGCTGGACTCAGCTGACAGAGTCTGGATAGAGTCAGCAAGCCCTGCCTCAGGCCAGGGCTTCATGCCCCTTGCAGAAATGTGAAGACAATTCCTTACTCTTCCAGGTGTGAAGATGCAGAAGCCTATGAGTTGCAGGATGGGGAGTTCAGCTCTGGGATCTTCATGAAATACCTGAAGAAACACATTCTGCAAGAGAAGAAGGTTACACACATGCTGGAGGATGTGCTAGAAGGTAAGGGATGAGCTAGAAACCACTTGCTTCATTAGCAGGGGTGAGAATTGATAGCAGCCCCCCCATCCCAGCCAGTCATCCCTCCCTAAAAACCAAACTGCAGGCCATGTCCCATGTGAGCTTTTAGTAAACTGGCAGCAGTACAAAGATGTTAACGTAAGGTATGAAAGCTAATGAGATAAATAAGGAACCTGGAGTGACCTTTGCACCTTCAAACTCTGTCCCCCAGACATTGGCCAGGATCCTTTGGTTACTGGGAAGCAGGTGATGGAGATCAAGCATACTCTGAAGGAAGCCCGGTCCCTGACGGATCCGATCTGTCCCTTGGGAGCCCGGGCCGAGCGCTGGGGGCACAGCCATGGTGAGCCATGCACGATGCAGGGAGGGCTACCAGGTGGGGGTGAGGAGAGGGTTGGGGGTCTCTGTGCCCCTCAGGGACACTGATGTTCATGGAGTTGTTGGCAGGATGCTCCAAGACCCCTCTTGTCTTTCCCTTCCAGAACTGCTGAGCAAGCGGGTGACCTTCCCCTGCGGGGCACGGGTGGAGCTGCGCTTCCACCGACTCTTCTCCAACCTAATCTGTGTGTGCGCCAAGCTGCAGCACTCCCCAGCCCACATCGCCGATACCCGCCTCCTGCTCTGCCGGCCCACCGTGAGTCCTCCCTTCCCTGGATTCCCTATGGGCTCCTTTCCTCAGAGTGGAGTTGGGAGGGTGGCAAGGGTGAGCCCAAGGGGTCCTGAGGGCTGAGAAAGGCTGAACCCCCTTGGAAACAAATCCCCTCCTCTGCTACCTCTGATGCAAATAATCCAAACTGCAAACACCTTTTTGAGTGCTCCTTCCATGCATCAGTACCCTGCAGACTGTCTGCCTTGCTCTTAATGCATCACCAAAAGGATTTTGTGGCAGTTTTGATGCCTTTAACCAGTTACCCTTGGACTGGTTTCTGATCTGCCCAATTAAATTACTGCATTTAATCTGATTGAGGTGAAGAGCCTTTCTGTTTTCTGTGTTTGGAAGCAGATCTGGCTTTTTGTATCATAGCACCACAGAGTCGTTTGGGTTGGAAGAGACCTTAAAGCTCCTCCAGTTCCAACCCCCTGCCACAGGCAGGGACACCTTCCACTAGAGCAGCTTGCTCTAAGCCCCGTTCAGCCTGGCCTTGAACACTGCCAGGGATGAGGCAGCCACAGCTTCACTTCTTCTGGATCATGCCTTCTTAGCCCACTGTGCTAATACATCTTAATGCAACAATATATTTCTTCCCTCTTGAGGTTTACCAGCTTCCTTGCACCCCTTCTCACACCTTTCCTAACAGACCAAGTAACCAGTGTGGCTTTTCTGGTGATACCCATGTCACCTCTAAGGATTTAATTTGTAGCTCCTTTTTGCTAACCATCTTTCTCCTTTTCTGTAGTCCTTTTGCTGAAGCATAGTGTGACTGTGGTGGATTTTTTGGACCTTGTTTCTCATGGAGGGGCATTGCCCCTCAGTACTTTGTGGTCACTGATTCAGCGCAGTGCGTCCAGGAGGTTTGGAGCCTGAGCCTGCCCATTAAGGAGCCAGAGCATCGTTTCCTGCTGTGAGCTCCTTAACCATGCATGAAAACCCTGTGTGTGCGCGCGCACTTGTGTCTGCATGTGTTTGTGTGCATCCACACCACATCAGCAATAGCTGGGAAAGGGACACCCAGCTGCTTGCTCCTGCGTTCAGAGCTGTCTCAAGACATGGTCCAGGCCTGGGGAAGAGTGGCTGGGAAGATGCTTAGTGAAAAATGAGCTGGAGGTGATGACTGACAGAGCTGAACATGAGCAGCTTGTGCCCAGGCAGCCAAGAAGCCACAAGCATCCTGGCTTGTATCAGCACCAGTGTGGCAGCAGGGCCAGGGCAGTGCTTGTCCCCCTGCACTGAGCACTGGTGAGGCCACACCTCGAATCCTGTGTTCAGTTCTGGGCCCCTTGCTATAAGAGAGACATTGAAGTGCTGGGGGAGCAGGACCTGAAGCACAAGTGTGATGGGGAACAGCTGAGGGACCTGGGGGGTTCAGTCTGGAGAAGAGAAGGCTCAAGGGAGACCTTATCGCTCTCTAAAACCGCCTGAAAGGAGGTTTTAGTGAGGTAGGGTTAGTCTCTTCTCCCAAGTAATGAGTAATAGGACCAGAGGAAACAGCCTCAAGCTGCATCAGGGGAGGTTTAGACAGAAGACTAGGAACAATTCCTGCCCTAGAGGTGCTCAGGCATTGGAACAGGCTGCCCAGGGCTGGGCTGCAGTCACCGTCCCTGCAAGTGTTCACACAGCGTGGAGACAAGGTCCTTAATGACGTAGTTTAGTGGTGGCCTTGACAGTGCTGGGGAACAGTTGGACTTGATGATCTTAAAGGTCTTTTCCAACCTTGTTGATTCTGTGATTGTAAGAGGGATTGGCGAGACCAAAAAGGGACCTCGATATAGCCATGGCAGTAGCATCCTGTCAGGGTCTGACTGGAGAAAACCCCAGTGTTGGACCTGTTTCGTTTGTGATCCTAAGAATGAAATTAAGACGCAAACAAGGTCAAGTACCACAATTGATCAGTTGGTTTATTACAAAAAGACAATTATTATAAAAAAGGAAATTACTGTCAAAAAAAGGAGATAGTGATGGGACAGATAGGAAAAAAGATAGAAATGAAGCAAGAATTCAGGGTGCAAAAAGAGAGTCTCCACTGTGGGTCCAGCGGGGGTCCATAGTTGGTATCAGAAGTGGTAGGAGTCCTCCATCATCTGTAGTCAGTATCAGAGCAGTGTCCCCAAGAATCCATAGTAGTCATCAGAGGTGGATGTCCTCATGAAGGTGTCCTCGTGGAGGTGTCCTTGTGGAGTTGTCCTCATGGAGAGTGCCCTCATGGAGGATGTCGCAGTGGAGGATGTCCTCATGGTGGTGTCTTTCCTGGTGATTACCTTTTCCTCCTTTTATTTTGAGTTGGGGGTAGTACGTCTGTTCTTAATGTCACCATTCCTGGTGGACCAGTTTCCCTGGCCTTGCAGCCAGCTCTTAAGTGTCTGCAGCGTTTCTTGGGATAATGGGCAGCAATTCCTCACACCAGTCCTCAAGATAATGAACAGAAGAATCTTACCTCAGCTCCTCCCACTCATCTCTCAGATAATGGACATTGGGGTCAACTCTTCCCACCCAGCTCTGAGACAATGGTCGATGGAATCTCATGTCACCTTCTCATACCGACCTTAGAGACAGTGGACAGTGGAGTCTGATTTCAGTTCAGTCCCTCACAGATCCCCATTCCTCCGCAGCGGTGCTGGCTCACACTGACCTCCAGTGGTGTCTGTTGACGTGGCAGCACATCCTCCCATTGCAGTGAATCGCAATTCAACTGCCTCACGTTAGACATCCACAGCAAGGACACCCACTGCCCTGTGGGGCCACAGGGAGATGCACGGGCATCTGCAGGAGGGCACCTGGCTCCTGTCAGGATCTGGGCAAGCTGTCTGCATCCTCACTGTGCCAGCCTCCTATTAGATGCTAAGGGGAGCTGGGGGGCTGTCTGTGCCACACGTGCAAGGCTGAGATGCAGGAGCTGAGGCTGAAGGCAAACAAAACACGGCTAGATCTGAGGTATAGGCTGTAATCCCTGGCAGTGAACTGAGGGTGCTGTTTGTTTCGGGAAATGGTAGTTTTCCCAGCATTTGCCACATTCTGCTTATCAAAGTGAGTTAAGCAGAGAGCCTGGGCTTGCTGTAGGGCTTGTCAGAGATAATGATGATGAGAGCTTATAGAATTGATCCATTTTCTTTAGCTGCCCAATGGCAGTGTTCTATCCCATCCCGTGTCTTGCCTGGCTTGCATTTTTACTTGACAAGCACTGTCTTCAGGGAGAGAGGCTGCTCTAGGACATACATACAAAGGAATAATGCTGAGCCAAGATGTTCCCATTTCTTTGCTCTGTACTGTTTAAATGCTTATTTTTAAAACTTTTATGTTGGATCTGCTCATTTTTAAGTCACTTGATCTGGAGCTGTTTGGCCTAATGGCCTCTCCAGTTATGCTTTCCCATTTAGAATACGTGAAACTCTGGGCCAGCCAGAACTCTGGCCTTGTCACTTCCTGGGAATTCTCTTCATTAAAGGACACATTCCACCTGGGGGGAAATTTTTATAAATAATTATGAATTGGCTAAATAATTAATTTAAAAAATCTTTTTCTCCATTTCCTAAATCCTACACAGCCAGAAATGATAAAGGAGACTAATGGAAGAGAAGACCTACCTGCATGCAATTAGATTCTGAAAGCACAGGAGGCTACTGAGGCTGGGAATATAGTAGAGGGGAAGATACTTGTGGATAATGAGTTACTGGCACCTACTTTGAACCTCATATGTCAGGGCTTTAATTGACCCCTCAAGATTAGGTTGCTCCTTGCCCAGGTGAATGTCTTAAAGGTGTTTCTGTGTGACATGGCCCTCTAGAGGCAGGAGGTCAAGCAGAGCTGGTGAACATTAAAGGTCCACCTGAGGAGCAAGAAGTCAGCCAAAGGTGGCAGGAGGCCTGTGTGGCCTTGCAGGGGGCTCTAACTGAGCTCACACATGAAAAGGAGGTGTACAAGGGATAGAAGCAAGGGCAAGTGGTGGAGGAGGACTATAGAGACGTGGCCCAGCACATAGGCGTTGGGTTAGGGAAGCCAAAGCCCATCTGGAGCTGAATCTGGTGGCAACAAGAACGGCTTCTACAAGTACATCAGCAGCAAAGGGAAAGCAAAAGAAAGTATGGCCCCACTGCTAAACAGGTCAGGGTATTTTGGATGTTCAGTGCATGGGACTAGATTCATCCCACTCAGGGAGGCTTTGTGGTTCAGAGCATCTAAACTTCCTGATGCTACTTGGCTTTTCCTGGTTTAACTTGGGTTGGGATATTGTTCTATCTATGCTAGTCATGTCTGTAGTACACCAGGCAGTTCTTAAGCTGAAAAAAAGGGTGGTCCAACCTCAAGGGGCTCAAAATTGCAGAGCAATAAGCAGATGTCTAGAAAAGTCCAGTGCATTAGCACAGATCTGAGCACTCCTGTCCTGCTAGTTGAAATCCAACTGCAATGTTAATCACTGAAGATTCAGTGTCTGCAAAGGCTGCTAACACAATTGCAAAAGCAGGCACTTAGCATCTGTGCCTGCAAGGAGACAAAGGGAATGTGGCTCTGACAGGCTGATGGATCCCTGGAGGAGCCACTCTTGGAGAGGTCACAGGAATGAGGATGCCCCAGGGGAAGTCAGGACTGCAGAAATCAACAGACACATGGGAAACAGCAGTGAGGCAACTACAGAGAAGGCTGGGGGAGGGTGCTTACAGCATCATCATAGATGGGGATGAAAGGGGAATAATAGTGGGGTGACTATGAGGAGGGCTTCTGGCCATGAATGATTCTCTTTCTAGTAATTAGGTTGTCATGGGTATTACAAGTCTAGCAGGGTTCAAAAATAACTTTGTCACCTTCATAGGAGTCCGTGAAAGCTATTGAAAACATAGACTCCACCTTTGGCTCAGAAAGTCACTGATTTTTCCATGGCAGGAGGCTGGCATGGTAGGTTCACGTGGGCAAGGCTGGCAGCATGCACATCCCATCTCTCCTGAAGCATGTGCTGGAGAATGGATCTAGCTGGATGCAGCAGGGCCACTCTACTCGTTTTTGCAGTCTTCCTGCCAAAGCCCTGCAGTAGTGGCATCCAGGCAGTTCTGGTTTATGCCTCTCTCTGCTCTCCAGGTTTAGTTTAACCTGGCTGTTGGGCTCAGCATAGTGGTGATGGCATCAAGGTAGCTGGGAGCCAGGTGCCTGATGCAACAAGACAGGGAAGGAGAGGGCAGTGGTCACTTGCAGAAGTTGCGATGCTCCTGTTTCAGGCACAGTTCAGGCTGTTGGAGGGAACAATGAGGCTTCCTGGCAAGGAGAGCTGCTCCATCCCCATGTGAGCTGTGTTCTCCTCTCACTGGCATACCTGTCTCCCTTTCTGCCAGCTCCATTCAGTGCCCTGATCTTCCCTAAGCTCCCTCCAGTTTATATTTCCATTAATGAGTTGCCAAGTGCGGAGATGGGATTTGGCTTTGCTTTGTACAGAGATAAATGGTATTTCTTCAGCCTGCCTCCAGTGCAATTTCGATCAGCAATGGTGTTTACTCCTGTTCAGCCAGCCTTTCAAGCAGGGAAGGACCCTGATGCTGCAGATCCCAGCCAGCATTTGGGATCCAACGTTTTACTTTCTACCCTCAATATTATCTTAGCCAAAGGCAGCAGTTCTGGGAGGGTCTGTAAAGGCTTCTCTGACCCCTGCCCCTGCAGTGTTCTGACAGCCTCCTTCATCAGCGTGCCCAGTGCAGCTTCTGACAATAGCAAGAATATTTTGCAAGGGTCAAACCCTCCTCGCGCACCACTGGCGTTGTCTGTGGCTGCAGGGAGCCTTACCGGGCTGCTCCACTCCCACACCCAGAGCCATGCCAGGACATCCTAGTGCTGGCCGAGTCAGGGCAGCAGGATCACACCGTGTTAGTTGCCAGAGCCAGCTGGCAGAGGTAAGTGCCGTCTTATGGAAAGGACTGGTGGACTGTGGGCTGTCACCCATCCTGGAGTGCTCAAATCCAAAGCAAGATGCTATTTCATAAGGCCCTGATTCCCTTGTCCCTTCTTGTGCTATTAGCAGCTCTAATATATGATCATTACTGAAGAGTATCCGATAGAGATGAGGCTGTTTTGAATGATTTTGAGTAATTCCCCAAGAATTGACAGTTCTGCAGCTGGTAGGGGGCTAACTCAGCACCCACTGCAACTCCCCTTCTCCAGCTATGTCTTTGGAATACTTTCTTCCTCTTCCAATTATGATAGTGGATGTTGCTGCTTTCTGTTCTGCTGGAAACCCTATTATTACCATAGATTTCCCAGTAAATGACTCATGGGACATTTAGCTAGGTCTTCCCACTGATAAACACAAGGTGAGTGTGTAAAAGCTCTGCATTTCTGTTTCTTGCACTCTGTCGTACTTCCACCAGCGTGTACAACATTTCCACCAGCCAAAGTGCCAAGGGCACAGGCCAACCCTGGCACTGCTTTGTGCCGAGAAGCAGCATGTTTGATGGGCAGTTGCGCTTCCATGCCCAGGCTGATGCTGAAACTTCCTTATGTTTCTTCTTGTTTTCCTGACACAGGAGATGGACAGTGTGGCCATCCAGAAAGAGAGCCACTGGGACCAAGTCAAGTCTCTGCTCTCCTCTGTGTACAAGCAGGAGGAGCTGGACTGTGTCTTCCAGCTCTGTGGACTACAGAAAATTCAGGTAGAGAGCTGCCAGGTGCAAATATCTGTGGTTCTCCTGCACCCTCACATAACTTGTACTCCCCATCCCCACTAACTCAAGCTGGATGTGCCCCTCCGTGTGTCTTGTGAGTCTGCGTGGACAATGCCTGGCATGCTTCTGTTAGTGCAACATCCAGATCGATGTTACAGGGGCTTGTTCATCTTCCAAGGTACAAACCCCATCTTCTTTCCCTTGGTTTGCTCTGTTTTTCTGTGCTGCCCAGCCATGGAGTCTGTTCTTACCGGTATCAACCGTGGGGAGATAAGACTAGCCCAAATCTTCTGGATGAAGGATGTCTCACTAGGCTGTGTGCTTGCTCACAGACTGGCCAGGATCTCAAGCAGCGGGAGGGATTATCCCCTGCTATCAGGGTGACAATACCAAGCATGACCCAAGCTATGCCTGTTTGGCACACTTCAGAAGTTCCTCAAACTATTTAAAGCCCATGAGAGAGGCGGAATTGCTAGACCCCTGGCTTGTCTCTTCCAGCAGATTCTCTCTCCCCAAATAGCAGTGAGCACCTAGTTTCTCATCTGATTTCTTTTTCGCTCTAGCACCCAGGCAGTGGATCTTGCCAGCTGCTCATCTGCTCTGCTCCATGCAGACTCCCACCAAACATTGCTTTTGAGCTGCTGCCTGGATCTGCCTACAATGAGCTCCATTTGCTGAGTGCGTGATGTGCCTTGGTATATGGCAGCTCTTACAGTCCTTGATTGTTCCTGGAGCTCTTTTTCTGAACCTTCCCAAGCATTCAGCATTGCTTCTAAGTGCAGATGGGAGACCTGGACCATGCATTGCCTGCTAAAATCTTCTTGCTCTATTATACATCTCCCTGCTTTATACAGCCAGGCATCTGAGGTACGGCCCATGCTCGGGTTCATGGCCAGGGGTTTGTCTGCTATGGATATGGTTATTTTCTGATTTTGTCATCTTTATAAAAGTCTAAAATAGTCCTAGGCTGCAAACAGATCCCTGCAGGGTGCTGCTGTTTAAAACCGTTGGCTTTTACTGTGCAATGTGTGTTCTGTCCCTTCCCTTGCATGCTTTCCTCTTGCATGTGCAGTAGTCCTTTGCCATGGTCAGGACAGATGTTGTGCCATTCTTTGCATGGGTGCAGTCCCCCTCTAATCCTGCTTCCTGTGCCAGTGTCTCAGAGGTGATGCTCTCAGTGACAGTGCCCTGATGGGGGTGATGAGATGTCCAAGTGAGGTGGTTTGATTTCAGGAGAAGTTCTGAAATCAAGGAACCGTGTCCAAATGCGACAGCTTGTTTTCTCTGGCAGTAGCATTGCTCCATCATGCCACAGCATGGGGCTGTGAGCCTGCAGACCAGCCAGCCAAGTCTGGCATTTCTGTTGACAGTAGCAAAAGCAAAAAACCTTTGCTTCAAGTCTTAGTCTCCAATTCACACTGCAACATTTGCTCTCACCTTCCAGACAGATGTGGTCCTGCAGTTGGATTTGCATTACACCCAGCTGAGCACAAAGCAGAGGATTTGTGAAAGCCTGCAGACAACCCTCCAGAAATCTCTGCTAGGGCAGTTTTTCAGCCACATGAATTACTCACAGCCAAACTACTGGAGACCTCCTGCCTGTGCAGGTGGTGTGTGCCTCCGGGACGCAGTGGCGCTGAGCATGGATCTGAAGGGACAAGCATCAGTGAGGACAGGCTTTGGCCACAGCTTGCCCAGCAGCAACCCCTCCAACTCCAGCAGTGAGCCAGAGGAGAATGATGAGAGTGACCTGAACGACCTCTGCTCAGCATTGCTGCGGGCTGGCCCAAGGCAGGGCTGCCCCTGACCCCATGGGCTGACATGCCCAACCTTAGGAGCTATTTTTAATAGAGATAACAGTTATTTGAGTGCTAAATAATGAATCAATCAGAGGGAGAATTCCAGTCTTGGCAACTGCCCTGTCCAAATGGCAACTGCCCTGTCCAAATTCCAGTCTTGGCAACTGCCATGTCCAAAGGCTGCTTTCTTGGAAAAGGTTCTCTCATCTGCACACTGTGGCATGTGGGCCCTGGAACCCACTGGAAATAACTTCATCCCGTGGGAGAGGTAGCAATCAGCAAGGAGTTGTTATCACGTTTAGTGGAGGACAGGGCCACCCCACCACTGCCAGGAACAACATGTAGCTTAAAGGGCACCGCCTGATGCGTTCTGTGAATTGGGCATTGCCTGAAAGCCAATGTGACAACTTTAAACATTATGAGGAACCCATAAACACTACAAACCTGTGGAGAGTAGTGATGCAGCCTCAAAACCCAACTACAGCTGCTGGTTCTCATTGCATTCATGCAGGGGTCACAAGGCTTGACCAAGGGAAGCAGGTGGAATTATGTGAACATATAAGTTCTGCCTTGGGGTCACAGTGTGGTTTTCTTTCCTTGTGAGCCCTGCTTCTGCCAAAGCAGGTTTTAAGTTATGCATTTATATATTTCTCAAGAATGTATTTATTGTTGGGGCAAGACAATTGCTTGCCAGGAAAAGGAAGGTCAGATATTCTGTCAAGTGTGTGTTTACAATGGAGGCTGGTTTTCTATCAGTAGCAGCCACTAGGATGGTACAGAGGGGCGTTAAAGGGTGTTAAGTCCTGTGCAGTCCTGAGTTCCTCTCAGATGCAGAATTTCCTCCATGCGAGAGATGGAAAAAACAGGGTGGAGGAAGAAGAACCTTAAAAAAGTTATTATTAGTGCAAGATTTTTCGTCTAAGTGCCTGTCTGTGCATTCACTGTGGGCAACCTCATGCACTGCTTTTTGTGGGGAGCCAGCTGTCCAGAGAGACCCACTGGTGAGCAGGGCCCAAAGGACAACCCAAGTGAGCACAGTCCCCTCCCTGCCTGCTTCTCTAATATTTGTTTGATAAAGGTTACAGCGTAGGTCCAGGTGATTGCAGCAATGGCCTGGGATGATTATCAAATAGTTCAACAGGGACCAATGACCCCATCACCTCCATCCCAGGCACAGCTACAGGTTGGGTGGAGAAGTCATTCAGAGCAGGCCTGCAGAGAAGGACTTGGGGTGTTGATTGATGAGAAACTGAATGTGGGCTGGCTTCAGTGTGTGCTTGAGCCCAGAAATCAGCTGTGTCATGGGCTGCATCAATAGAAGCGTGACCAGCAGGTTGAAGGAGGTGATGCTGCCCCCTGACTCTGTTCTCATGAGACCCCACTTGCAGCACTGTGTGCAGTTCTGGTGTCCTCAACATAAGAAGGACATGGAACTGTTGGAGCTATGAGGATGATCAGGGGCTGGAACACCTCCTGGATGGAGGCAGACTGAGAACACTGGGGCTGTTCAGCCTGGGGAAGAGAACCTGTGTGGACACCTCATAGCAGCCTTCCAGTATCTGAAAGGGGCTACAAGGATGCTGGAGAGGAACTTTTCATCAGGGGCTGTAGTGATGGGACAAGGGCAAGATGGGTTTAAACTTAAACAGGGAAGTTCAGGTTGGATACAAGGCAGAAGTTCTTCCCTGTTAGGGTGGTGAGGCCCCAGCACAGGTTGCCCAAAGAAGTCGTAAATATGTGTAAATCCCTGGCAGTGTCCAAGGCTAGGTTGGACAGAGCCTTGGGCAACATGTTCTAGTGTTCCCCTGCTCATTTTAGGGGGTGTGGAATGATCCTTTCCAGCCCAAACTTATCTATGATTCTATGATTCTCAGAGGACAGTTCACTCTGGACTGGAGAAGGTGCTAATGAACTGATCTGGGAGTTGGACTAGATCTCCAGAAGTCTCTTCCATCCCTAATGCTTCTGTGATCTGGCAGGGTGCTGGGTTAGAGACTGACAGAGTTCTCTTCTTTCTGGCTGTTGTCCTCTGAAAGAAAGACTTAAAGACTTCTTGAGAGGTCAAGGATGGTGGGGTGGTGAGAACATCCAAGCCCTGTCTTATGTCTTGGTATAAAAGGGTGGTGTAGAGAGCATTTTGTAAGTTGTTCTTCAGCAGTGAAGATACTTGCATCTCTATCTATGGTGTCTGTTGCATCATGAAGAAATAGGAAATGTTGCTTCCGGATGAACCATCCTGCAAGTGCTGGAAGCCTGTCTGAAGAGAACAGGGGAGGCATTCACTCTCTTCACAGTGAGTAGAGCCAAGGGTAAGAAAAGGGGCCCCATCTGGCTGAAGTCTAGAAAGTCTCCTAAGAGAAAATGTAAAAACAATGAATAATTGGCAGAATGTATTTTAAATAAGATGGTCTGAGGGAGAAGCTAAACCAGAAAATGATGAACTAATAGAAGGGAGAACCAAAGATCAACTCAACACCAGCAGAAACTTAAGACAGGTCAGTGAGAATATCTATGCAGGCATTTAGGAGCTGTGAGTCTCGTCCCTATGAGGATTGTATACACCCTTCTGTACTGTTGGGGCAAAATGTGTTTCTGGCTCATCTAATCATGGCAAATGTCACCTTGTGTGAATGTCAGTCTCATTCAAAGTGAGGCTGTTTATTTTTTTCTGAATAAAACACCGCTGGTGGTTTTGGATGCAGAAAAGTTTCATGCGGCTCCAAGTGAACTGTCTTCATTTTATCCTCTAACTGATGTAACTGCCAGCGTTTTACTTTAATATTGACCTGCTGTGTTCTTACTGGGTTCTGGGTTCTTGTTGACCTACTGGGTTCAAAAACATAAGGCTCTTATGTTTCTTTTTTTAGGTAACTGCATATTGAAGTTGGGATTCAGAAGGTGGATCAAGTGACATGAGATAGGATGAAATAATGTCAGGTGAAATGTGTAGCTAAGATGTCAGGATTTATTGTGAATTATCCATCTCCTTTGTAAAGTGGGGCTGGCTTTTGGGTGGCTGGGTCCTTCTGTCCCGGTGCCAACCATAGGACTTGTCCCTGTCACCAGTTCCGCTCCTCGAAGGAGACCCTGCAGCCAAGCCCAGGGCTACCACCACATTTCAATGCACCTCAGTCGGTTATAACCAAGAACATAAGCACTTGCAAAGCTGAATTGCAAAAGTGGAGTTTGAATCCCAGGCTTCTGGCCATGGCAGCCTGGTGCCCTACTGCCAGCTGGATTCATTGTAGGAGGGGGTGAAACTATGTCTGCCTTCATCCCCCTTACATGTGAAATCTGAACTCCCCCATGGCGGTGTAACTGTTTAGTGCCAGTCAATTTTCAGTTGAATATATGCTTTCATATCCCAGCATCAAGGCTGGGCAACTGATCCAAGATTACTGTGCTTCTCTTGATCACATCCTTCCTGATCTCCATCCATAGTCCCTGGGGCCATAAGCTCCCTGTGGCCAGCCTGAACAGTAGGAAGGAGGGAGCACCCATCTCCATGCAATGCACCATCATTTCATACTCTGCTTACAGCATGCCTGTGGCCAAGTAGTCCCAACAGCCTCTGCCCACTCAATGCTTAATTCCTCTTATCATTGCTGCTCCTTCCATCCACCCTGACTCCTGGACAACGCTGTTTTACCCTCACGTCTATGTGACCTGACCTCACCTCTTCCTGCCGCATCAGTTGCTTGCTCTCTGCCATGACACTGACCTGGAGCAAGCAGCCATTCTTCTCACTGTTTCCCTTTCCCATCTGACAGCGTATATCGTGCCCACCTTGCTATGTCATTTCAGGTTATCCCTCCCTCCCTATCGATTTTGAGTACATTTCCATGCCTTTTCATGCACTGAAGTAGCAGGTGATATCTCCAAACGTAAAAGCCTGGAAATCTGATGCTATTCCATTGCATTTCTTTGCAGGGACATAGCCTGCAAAGATCCTATGGCTGGACAATGCCTAGTCTTCATACTGCCTTTAGTAAGAAAACCAGTCCATTACTTAGTGTGATTCCCCCAGAAGGGCTACAAGACCCATTAAATATTGGGACTCCTTCATTAGATGCATAACTGCAGGCAAAGTGGCACCAAGAAATCAGCTCTAATTTACATTCCCTCTGCCTCCATACCTTCACTTATCCATTCATAGCCACAGCCATTGCCCTCCATTTCCCACTGTTTCTGTACCACTCTGCGCCCAGAGGCTACAAACAGCATTTAGGAGCATTTATGCAGGCAATACAGTTGCTTTTCCTATGTTTTATTTGAGAAGCCCCAAGTGAACCAAAGCTTTAAAACATTCCTTAATCTCTGATGAAAACAGCAACACCGAGATCATTTTATTTTCAGATGGCTGCCCTTTTTTTCTTCTCTGCTAACACAGATGTACTGAAGGGAAGGACCTTGCTCAACAGCCTGTTGTGCTCTTCTACAGAGTTTGGTTGGATGAAGTTCTCAGCTCTTTTGTTGGTATTTGGCAGTTTCCTGACAAAACAAGGCAAGTGTGCCCAAAAGGAGTGAGAAAACAAGGCAGTCAGAATCAGGGATATGCCAGTTCTGTCTGGGTTTTATTTAGTTACTGGAAAATCACTGGCCCAGCATGCAGTCAAGAAGCATGTTGTGTGTGCACTGGCATATACACCCAAGCCTGGCACCCTTCTGTTGGCAGCAGATCCATTAAGGTTTGTTCTCAGTTGGCTTTTTTATGACCAAAGCAAGGAAATGGGAGATTGGTCTTGGACCAGACACTCACCAGGCTCAACCAGAGAGAGAAAACATAAGGCAGGTCTTTCTGCATCTGAAGAATCAGTCATACAAGTAAACTAGCAAGTTAGGCAGCAGAAGCAATGAGTTCATGTCTCAGGCCAGAGAGGGACACAGCTATGGAGGTAGATGACACCAAAGCATGTTGGCATGCCATGAGGATCTTCTTGGCACCTTTGGGTAGCTGAGGCATCTGCATGTCACTGTGAATGTTTCAGACACCATTGAGGCATTGCTGCTGTGTGCTGTTCCCAAGCATGCAAGAAGTAGCATGGAGGCAGGGCAGAAGATGGGATGTTTCTTGGTTTGTACAGCCCCTCACTAGACACTGAGCCATCCCTGCTGGCTCTGGGCA